ATCATTATCATCACCTGCGGAGAGCCGCTGCTCCCAGTGAAGCAGACGGTGCAGCTGATACCTCGACAGCGCCTCCGTCACAGCGATGTCGCGCTGCCGTCGCTGCTGGTCGCACTGCAGCCACGCCACATGGCAGGTGGTGATGCGGTGCATGCGGACTTGACTTTCGTCGAGTGCAATCAACTCGCGAAGGACGGCTTCTGCCTCCTCTAAATCGTGCACACTGAAGGACGCGCCGTGTCGCGCCTCCCAGCCGCTCTCCACGAAGCTGCGGATCCACTCATACAGCGCCATATGCGTGTGTGGCGTCGCTGTCAGATCCACACACGTTCCTGCAGCTGTACCTGGAGCAGCCGCAGCAGCGTGGTTTATGCCTCCCTCGAGGGCATAGAAGACACAGGGCTCAACAAGGACGATATCGCTCATAGCGCCACCTCCACACGAAAAAAAAGTGCGTAGAAGAGATGGTGAACGAAGCACGAAAAAGGAGGGGAGGGGGAGAGAGCGAAAAGGCGAGACAGTGGTGGTTGAAAAGACCGNCAGAGGCTGACAGAGCACCACCCACTCAACCCTCCCACAGAGGGATTATTTCCTTATATCCTGGCGTTGCCGATCTTCTCGCCATTGTATGTATTGGTGAGAACAGGAGGCTGGCGGCCGCAACGGCAACGAGAGAAAGAAAAACATGCAAAATGCAACACGTCAGCTCACACCTCATGGGCCGCGATTGGATCCCGTATTCCGCACCCGCTCCGCGATGTCGTTGAGCTGTAGCACATGCGTGGATATCTGCCGCAGGTGTTCGCCAATGACGGTAAACTCCCCCTCAAGCATCTTGAAGTGCCGCGCAACATCTTGAAACGGGCGGTCGGAGAAGCCGGCGTCGTTGCTCCACGGCGGTGGGGCCGCGTCGGTCGCCTCAGCCTCCGCGCCGCCGCCGCCGCCACCACCACCACCGGTGCCCCAGCGGTCTGACGGCGAATTGCCGCTGAACCCGCCAAGACGCGAGGAGGTGCCAAGTTCAGCGCTCACCGACTTGGCGTTATTCTTGCTGCTGGTTTTGGCGTTGTTGTTATTGTTGTTGTTGTTGCTGTTGTCACGACCGAGCGAGCGGCCTGTGGCGGCGG